TTTAAAGGCAGTACATTTTGTGTTCCGACTTACGAACCGTTCGACTTAAGAACGGGTCGCGGTAACGGAATCTGTTCGTAAGTCGAGGACCGTCCGAAATTATATCTCACCGTTTCGACCTCTCTCCCTCTCGGGTGTCTTTCCCTCCTTTAGCTGCCACTCATCATTAGTCGCGACCACTGCTCACAATTTCTTGCTAGTCACGTGTTCTGCCTAAGGTCAATTAATTTTGTTAACGGTCAATAATATGTCTAGAAACTTGAATATGTTCTCCTAATCCACGTGTTATTCTGAGTTATAATTATAAACGTGGACCTCCCTAACAATAAACAACTTTTCAGCTTTTGGTTATTTTCCTTTGCCAGTGTCCATGTGCACGATACATACGTCACAGTAGGCAACAGACACGAGGTTCAATATTTTTTTTTATTCAGGCCTTCAACAACTGCCATAGGTACACACATTATCTTCTGTTTTCCAGTTGTGCGCATCCCATGAACACCTTAAATTGTTTAGCAAACATATTGCAGATATTATCAAGCAGTAGATGACAAGAACACACCAAAGACCACGTCCACTGCGGAGACGGAGCGACGAAATCATCTGGGTGGATTGTTCCGTCGCGTGACCCTTATAGATGACAACGACCTTGGGAAGGCCTTCATCCAGCAGTGGATAGACCGTGGCTGTGGGTGCTAAAGACGATGGTTACATTTACGCCAATGGAGTTGGGCGCTTCGGTTTCCATCCACATACGATCACTCACGATTGGCCCGATGGCACCTTCACGTATATAGAGGACCGCAGAACTTGGGCAAGTGCAGGCTCCCCGCGTGGCTGCTGCCTGTGGGTGGGGCGAGGGGTGAGTTGGGGGGGGGGCTGGGGGGTAGGGGTGCTGGGTGGATAGGGGGGGCGGTGGGCTGGGGGTGCCGGAGTGGGGATGGAGGGGTGGGGCTGGGGGGGGATCGTGAGCGGCGCCCGCGGGGGTGGTGTAGGAGGGGGTGGGGGTGGAGGGGGGCGGGCGGTGGGCTGGTGGGGGTGGGAGGGGGGTGCAGGAGGGGAGCACGCGGCCGTGCGGGACACGGGGGTGGGGGACGGTGGCACGTGACCTTTACACGCGCGCGCGGTCACCCGATATCCTCACAAGTGTCACAAGTGTACCGGCAACCTGACACGTGGGGCAATTCCCCTGCCGCTCGCTGCCTGCTCCCCCCCTCCACCCACCGCCACCAGCAGCATCAGCACCACCACCACCACGATCTCCCCCCCCTCCATCCACCGCCACCAGCAGCATCAGCACCACCACCACCACGATCTCTCCCTGCTCCCCCCCCTCCACCCACCGCCACCAGCAGCATCAGCACCACCACCACCACGATCTCTCCCTGCTCCCCCCTCCACCCACCGCCACCAGCAGCATCAGCGCCACCACCACCACAATCTCTCCCTGCCCCCCCCTCCACCCACCGCCACCAGCAGCATCAGCACCACCACCACCACGATCTCTCCCCGCTCCCCCCCCCTCCACCCACCGCCACCAGCAGCATCAGCACCACCACCACCACGATCTCTCCCTGCCCCCCCCCTCCACCCACTGCCACCAGCAGCATCAGCACCACCACCACCACGATCTCTCCCTGCTCCCCCCCTCCACCCACCGCCACCAGCAGCATCAGCACCACCACCACCACGATCTCTCCCTGCTCCCCCCTCCACCCACCGCCACCAGCAGCATCAGCACCACCACCACCACGATCTCTCCCCCACTCCACCCACCGCCACCAGCAGCATCAGCACCACCACCACCACGATCTCTCCCTGCTCCCCCCCTCCACCCACCGCCACCAGCAGCATCAGCACCACCACCACCACGATCTCTCCCCGCTTCCCCAACCCCCACCACCACCACGATCTCTTCCTGCTACTGATGATTGAAGGGCCGTTGCCCGAAATGTCGCCTTTTATATACGTTTTATAAGGTCAAACGCACAGTGCTATTGATGAATGCGTTAAGGTGTTTTGTTTAAATTAAGATCCTCCATTACACCGCGTGCATACATTTAGATTCTATATTTTGCCGATATACATTTAGATTCTCGATTTAGCCGCTATACATTTAGATTCTCGATTTTGCCGATATACATTCAGATTCTATATTTAGCCGCTATACATTTCCACACAATCAGCCACTTCGCTGGGCTATCATTTGTGGCCAGGTCACTTCTGAAAAAGAGCTATATATAGCTCAGTGGGCCTAAGCTGGTAAAAAAACAAATAGTTGAGTATAGTTGACAATTTAAAATACAGATGGTGGTTAATGCCCTGTGCTTTGAGCGCCCCCATTCTTCCACACACAGCAGTGTTCGTCACTCACTTTGAGTGCGAGGCCACCTTCACCGACAAAAGACATCTTCGGTGTGAAAGCAGCGCCGCACATTTGAAACCATTGGGGGGTTGACAGCAGCAGCACGTTGATCATGATGATGATGGGGGGGGGAGTGTTTTCACATCTGGTGTGTAGTGTCAGGGGCTCCACTAAAGGCCATCAGGGGCCGACAGTGTCCCGCGGAACTTGCTACGAAGAACACCGATTTAATACGGAGACTCGCGCGTCGATCACTCGTTACTTCCATTGATCCAAATGGCACCAAATTTAAAAGTTACCCATAAAGTCATCTGCTGGAATATACGAAGCAATCGTCGTGCGTGCCGTCACCCCCTACCGCGAACACTTGGCAGGTCCCTCTTGAATAACTAGTCTCTTTCGGGGCCGTTTATAAATGACGTCACGCACCTGGGGGTGGGGGGCGGGGGTCAGACATTTGTGACGATGGGGGGTGGGGGGTTGAGAAATGTGACGTCACATCAAAATGCGCAACTTTAATTAAATATAGACAACACGTTCTACTTTTCTTTGGGGGCGGGGGGTGGTCAGAGCTTTGTGACGTCATATTTGAGGGAGGTCTGACTTTTTGTGACGCCGTGTGACGAAGGGTGGGGGGGGGTCAAAAATCGTCCAAAATTGCGTGACGTCATTTATGGACGGCCCCTTACACTCAGCGAGGCATGTTCTGGATTTAACAAGCATCACGATAGGCACATTAATGACGACGGTACAGCGACAACTCATTCTGACGATGTGGAGTGTTGGTTAGCCTGCAAGCAGGCTCTGTACGCTTTCTGTTGGCTTCAGCATCACACTCCGTGAGAGGCCAATTATTTGGAAGTGTGAAAGCACAACATATGAATAAATGTTGACTTCTAGACTGACCCTGGCCCTATGAGTGAAACCTCTGGGGATGTAATCTTTGGTGGAAATTTTTTCGAACACTTTAGTTTTTGGTATTTTTCCGAGAATCGATATTTGTGCCAAACTTCAGCTGTCTGGCCCTTCTCGAACAACATCAGAATACACGTCAGCCATCCCGCTCACAATCGTCTGTATCACATGTACGGGGGGGGGGTGGGGGGACGACGCGGCTCTGCTAAGTACCTGGCCACCTAAGTTCGATTCCCAGACGTGGCTGATATCATTGCTGAATGGACACCTCTGCAATGACCGAATATTAGCAAGCAATCTTGATTTGAAGCTTTCGTGACATGCAGGAATCCATACTCTTTGGTTCTTTCGGGAAAAGTGACGTAGGTAGAAAAATAAGAGATCACGACGTTTCGATCGCAACACAAGCAATCTTCATCAGGTGGGACAACCACTGACGACGATTGCTTGTGTTGCGATCGACACGTCGTGATCTATTATTTTTCTACCTACGTGACTTAACCGAAATACCATTGGAACCTCATTTGCCAGTAAAAAATATAATAGGTTACCCTTTTTTCTGGCAACAAAACCTACACTTTTTTTTACCGAAATAACCAAATAGTATTAACAAGCACTCACCCCGAGGCAATGTGCAGCCAAACGGTTATTTAAAAGTAGGCCAAGGTCTCAGATTGACGGAAAGAGGCCTCCACTGTGATTGGTCGGGAGGCGGGGCTTTCAAAGTGATTGGAGGAAAAGGTTTTGAACGAGAATAGGCGGGGCCCAGAGTCGAGACGGCGGTTGGGAACCGTTAGAGGAGAAGGGCAGGGATTGGCTGGGGGGGAATGAGTGAGGGAAAATTCGAGAAAGGGGGCTCGAGACGGATATAAATGGGGAGAGCACGAGGGGGGGGCGGACGTTCGAGGGAAGGGACGAGCTTCAAGGCCGAGCACGAAGCTCGGGCCGAGCGTTGTTCCTGTGTCTGAACAAGAGAGGCTCCGAGTGGGTCGCCGTTCGAGTCATTTCACCTCGACCACTCCTGGGCCTCCTTTCACCAAACCACACTCACTGGCGTGGCGAAGGGCGGTAAAAACTCCTCGAAAGACGTGAGATGGCATCGGGGGAGACTTTCATCTAGCCGCTGATTGATCAAGGCTGTGAGAATTTAGCTTTGGATATATCGACAGTCAAAACTGTGATCTTCTGTCGGCTCTCCGAGAGACTCGCGGGTTCAAGAGATCTCTTGCGACAACCGGCGTAGCGTTGCAGGAGGCCTTCTGCAACGCAGTGGTACGTGGACAACTCTGGTTGGCACAATCGGCCTTCATCATCGTGATCGCCATGTTCCAATGGGCCTTGATCATCGTGTTAGTAATTTCCAATGGGCCTTCGTCGTGTGCCAATGGGCCTTCATCGTCGTGTCCCTGATGATGATATCCCTCAGAACGTCTCTCAGCACTATTCCGAGCACGTATCTTTGCTCACTTTTCAGATTTTGTTTAATTTTTTCATTTGTATCCACCAAGGAGAAGCAGTGATGGGGGCACCGCTCCGTGCACAGCGGTGAGATGAGGGATTGTGGCATCGCAGGGCCACGAGTGAGGAGGCCTTCATCCAGCAGTAGATACAAATTGGCCAATGATGCCGATGGCAGTGTAATTATAGATGCAGGTATGTATGCGTGCTCACCCGTAAGTATATACTCTGTGTACACTATATAATCCACGTAGAGACAATGCACGATCGTGTGCTATACACAGATATATTTTATTTTTCACTTAACATGCAGCATTATAAGAGCTATAGTGTTTGAAGCATGGCGCATTCAACACAACAAATGGTACACATATATATTACATTTTAATGCTCATGCTGCATATGCTGTATAAGTGTATGTATATGTAGAACATGCATATAGACACACATTATAAAAGTATAAATCAAATGAATTATTATAAACATATCAAACGCGCTTTTGTGCTGGTCTGGTGAAACATCACAAGTCACTTGGGACCCCCAACTTCGAGCAACAACAACAACCACAATTCAAGGAACCGCCAGTCCCACACTTGTAACGCGTGCAGATGCTGCAACTGGCAAAACAGAAATAACAAAACTCAACGAAGCAAACTTTACAACGCGTAAACGTGCGCGACAAGACGGTGGATCGCGCGGAGCATCGGATTCGGACCATCTACGCACGGCGTCATCCCGGGAGGAGGGAGGGGGTGGTGGAGATTCGTATCGCGGGAGAACTTGCACGATCGATTAAAGAAAACCCAGCAGAACGACCACAACAACCGTCCGGCATCGCCCCCGCCACGTACGCGAGCGAGACCTTACAGACTTCGAAAAAAAAAGTGCCCCCCCTCTAGTCCACGAAAGGCACGAAGCCACCGTCCGTGCCGTATTTGGCGCCCGCGCCCGCGTCCTACTCGCTCGACTCCCCCCACTCCCCACCCTTAACGAACGAATTGCAAGGAATGAGAGAAGATGGCAAATCGACAAGTCGACAAAGCGAGCGAGATCAAGGTGGGGGGGGGGCATGGGGGAGGAGGGGGGGCTCGCCACCAACTCACGCCGCAAAATGTCCCCGCGATCGCGCTTCCTTCTCCTCCGTGGGCCTCGCCCTGCCCCGCCTCTCCTCCTCCTCCCGCATGAACGAGCGGAGCAGAGCGGTGCTCGGGTGGGGGTGCCGGCGGGAGAGTGTATCGCCGCCCTCCGTCCCCGGCCCTGCTCCCGCGGCCTTGCCCCCGGCCCTGCCTGCGGGGTGGCAGTCGGCGTCTCGGCCGGGCAAGGATTGGCCCCGCCAGCGGTTGAGGATACCGGCCCCGACCAGGCGGCGCTGTTGGGACTTCTCGTCGCTTGCCTCCTCCTGCTGCTGCTGCCCCGACGTCGCCGCTGCCCTAACCGGTGCCGGCCCCGCACCTAATCCCATCCCGGCGACCGCGGACGACGAGCGGGAGGACAGCGAGGAGGTGGAGGATGACGAGGAGGAGAGGGATGAGGAGGACGTCGTGCCGAGGCTGCCCCGCCTGCCCAGGCCTCTGGATTTCCACCACGTGGTGCCTGGGCCCTCGGCTGGGTCGGAGGTCGTCGAGGGATGCCCGCCGGCTGCCCGCATGCGCCCCCACTCGGCCTCTGAGAGAAGGAAAGGGTTGATGGAACAAAAGTAATAATTAATTATCGTACTTTCAGACAAGGTCCTGCAAAGTTTACCATTCACTGCGTCATCACGGTGAGTCGATTTGTCGCACGAGAGCAACTGTTACGTTTCTGATACACGCTTTAAATAATGAGCATGAGAATCAATTGTTTTATGCACAGTATATACATGTATATGGTAATCGAGGGCTTGTCGAGATACATTTGGGGCCTCGGTACATAATGATGATTTGGGACGCCCACAATTCTATTCCAAGCAAAAGTAAAAAAAAACACCTAATCTTGTAATGTTTGGAGTCCACTCTAAGCTTGGACCCCGAGTGGTGGTCCCGAATTTCCCCTCCTCTCATCATCTGCAAGAGAAGAGAAGCCTGAGTGTAAAGAAAGAAAGGGGCATTTGAGTTGAGAGTACTGTCTCTATTACTGTATGGATCACAGAGCTGAATACAAAGCAGCTTAACTCTTTCGCATTCCAAGATGTCGACAAGTTTGCAGGGTGGGTTGTCCCGTTCACCGCTGAATCTCAGAAGGCACAAGTGGTTCAGCGTTAATTTTATTTAGAGAGGCATAGTGCCGTTGTTTTTAAAGACATTCCACTCAACGCAGGGAACTGTAGCAACACGACCACACGTTATGATAGCTGGCCTCAAACTGCTACACGCCCTCCTGCATGGCCTTGTGGAAGCCTTGGTACCGACAAAGTTATTTAATTTTAGTTTTTCTTCCGGTACCATTCCAATAACATACACGTACATCATCAGAATGGAATCGGAAGAAAAACTGATGATGTACATGAACGTCATCGGAACGGGAATGGCTTAAAAATATGTTGTTGGCATTTGAGCCCAGGTGTCTGAGACGAATGCTGGGAATTTCGTAGCAAAACAGGAGAAGCAATGCAGGTAGGTGTTGTAGCTACGCTTAGGCTGGCAGGGACGAGCATGCAGGATGGAGGATGCCGGTTCAACTGGACATCAGTGAAAACGAGCTTTATAGCTCATCGGATTCCTCCAGTATAAATACATATTCTGATTCTGATACCGAGAACAGGCATTGGTAGATGGTCTCCACGAGTCTGGCGATCAAGTCGAAGACCTAAGAGCAGATGGCGGGATACTGATCGGGCAGAACCTGGGAGGTTTTGTGTCTACTGTGCAGCAGCTGCGAGATCTGGAAGAGGGTACAAAGCGTTAGCAAGGCGAGGTGGTGGCACCAATGGCTTCGGGCACAATGGCGTCCGGCTCGATCGTCGGGGGTCTCGACACCGCACGCCCACGGCAAACGCACCAGCGAGCGCCGAGGTGTGGATCAGCGGTTGCTCTGCGTCGGGCGTCATGGCGGTTCCTGCCGCGGAGGAGGAGGAATCGCTGACAACGCTCGTCCCCAGTGCGGAGCTCGACTCCGAGCGATTGGTCCCCACGGTAGAGCTGGACTCTGTGACGGAGGAGCGGCTCGAGGATGTGGAATCGGGTCCCTCCGACGGCGACGAGTTCGGGGGGAAGAGTGCCGACTGAGCGATGGGCGGGCACGGGCGGGAATGCATGTGCAGACACGCACACAAAAAGAGCAAGTGCTGTTAGCGAGCAGCGCTTATGAAGGCTGGCACGGCACACGAGGGTGTGGGTGGCCAACACCACGCCCGGCTGCCTTTGTCTCCCCAGTGGTGATGTTTACACTCTGCACCAGGTATTAATTTAAGACCGAGTTAACCTGGGGGAGGCCCAGGGCTGGTTCACATCATCGTCACGGGTGTTGGTCGTGAGCGGGCATCGAACTCGGATCGCCAGGTTTGTAGTGCATTGCACTCAAGGCTGTGCCCCCGCTCCCAAACACACAAAACAAAGATCCCCCGTATAGCTTTAACAGACTGTTGGAGCAAGTGCTGTTAGTGAGCACCGATGAAGGCCGGCACAGAACACGAGAGAGTGAGTGGCCGTCTTTGTCGCCTTCGTGGCGATGTTGACACACTCGCACACACGCAAGCGCACACAATGAAGCAAATATCCCCGGTTAGCCTGCAAAGATTGTTAGAGTGAGTGCTATTGGGCGAGCAGCTATTACTATTAACACGTAGGCTTTGCCCGCTGTTGCTTGCCTTGCCAGCTATTAAGGTTGGCAAGGCACGCAAAGGCATGCACCTGCTGATGAGCCCGTGAATGTTGAAGCCGGTTCACCGTTTGCTTGTTGAAACAAATGCCGCCGCCGGTTTAATCATATGGTCTCCAACGCCCACTGGGCTAACGGAACCAGACAACGTTTTTGCATTGTGTGCGCCGACGTACGGAACGGGATCCGAGCCACTTATTTATTAATATAAACCCGCAAATAGGGGAAGGAGCCACATTTTTTTCGTCTTCTTACAAACGAGGGTGCTAATTAACAGGTGAGTGCACAGAACACAATCAGCACATAGCTTCACACCTTGATGCTGCAGAGCAGACGTGTCAGATTCTGTGCCTTCCCAACCACCTGGAACACAGTGACACGCAAAGACAAAGGAAAAGATCCCCCGTGTAGCCTTAGCAGACTGTTAGGGGTAAGTGCAGTTGGCAAGTAGCACCGTTGAAGGCCGGCACGGCACAGGAGGGGGTGGTTGGCCATCACCACGCCCGACCGTCTTTGTCTCCCCGGTGGCGATGTTTTTGCACACCGCACCAGGTACTTATTTGAGGCTGAGTCGGCCAAGGGGAGGCCCAAGACGCACACACGCGCACACACACGCACACACGCGCACGCGCGCACACGCGCACACACACGCACACACGCGCGCACACACACGCACGAGCGTTCTGCTGCAGGCGAGTGCAAATTTACCACATCACTTCTATCATCATTATTATTATTATCCTGAAGGCGGAACCAATTATATATATTTTTGAAAATCTATTGGTTACTATCTTTTTTTTCATTAACAAAGTGACGGTGGGAATTGCAAATCGCTGAAATGGGGTCGTGAGCCTTTGGGAAGTGGCGTTCTGCCAAGAGCGTTTACAACACTCCTACACATCACGCACTAAGCGCTCGACACGAACCACAACACCTCCCTGATCTCGTCAAGGCGCATAAAGCACCATCAAGCGAACTCCAGTCAACCTCGCAGCAGCGGCTTTTGGCTAACCATCGAACAAAGACGATCACCGCATCGCGCACTTTTAGATGCGCTTCTGCGGCCGTCTGGAACGCTCTTCCTTCCAACATGTGGAAGCCGCTGGAGCTTTTCACTTTTAAATCCAGATTGAAAACTAATTTCTCGAGAAATTATTTTTTGTGTTTTGTTTGTTGTCCTTCCCCCGCACCTCCGATGAGCATGGTTGGCTACGTACGGTGGGAAAGACGTTCAACGTACACACACACATTCTGCTTTGACGAGTCGCTCGGCGTGAAAGCCACTCAATCTGTTCTGCTGTCGCCATCATCTGAAAACCTCTGCGCAGTTGGCTCCCTGCCTCTGTTCAAGTCCAGGCTCAGGTTTAAGGCCTTCCTTTCCTTGTTTCACCTTCCTCAAAGCCTAATGACCGATTCTCTCGTCAAAATAATTACGCTCACCGTTTTCTGTGCAGCGGTTTGCGATGTGGTTGCATCTTAAGATGCCAAATTAATCTCATCAGATTTTGAAAGCTGAGCCAGTTCATTTGCGACCTGGCCACAAACGAAGTGGCTTATCGTGTGGCAATTTATAGCAGACAAATACTCTCAACGCACGCTGATTCTAAAAGTGGAGGGAAAAATTGCAGGGCTCAGAGAAAATTTCACGCGACCACGGGGAGAGAGAGACATGCAAACTCCAAATATACAGCCGTCAGGGTCAGGATCGAACCCACGACCTCCTGCATACCAAGCGAGGTAGTTAACATCTCGCCACTGGATGTTGTAGGTTTCAGCTGCGAGGTGACCGGGAGATGCCAATACGGCAATGGATTCTCGAATCCTGTCCATGCAAATGTTTTAGGCGTCACCCTCTCGTGCGTGCGGGTTTTCCCTGGGGTTCTTCCGTTTCCTCCCCCAAACCATTAAACGAACCTGGCCAAACATCCCCAACGCACGACCCTCCAGAAAAAAAAAATCATATATTTCTCGAAGCTCAGTGAGACTTTCCTGGACAAATAAATAACCTGTCTCCAACATTCTCTCGAATAAAGACGGATGAGTGGGGAAATTAGCGTCGAGGAAGCCATTGTTTAGGCACCGGATGAGAGAGAACAAGGGAGATCGGCAGTAAAACGCCGCATGCTTGGAACCGAGGAGGGCACAGCGGGCGGGGAGGGCACAGCGTGAGTCCACGACGTGAGAGCGAGCGATTCTGTTTGGCTCGGGTATTGCCGCTTCACGCCGCCTCCATCTGGCTCCACGAGCCTCGATCACACCTCAAGTTTTGTGTGACTCAGACCAGGTGAGAATTCGAGAGACAAGGAAGAGCCTCAATTGCAAGAGTGACCTGCGTCACCTAAATGACAAAATGCGATAACATGAAAGCAAGTACAGCAATGAATAACAAGGGTTTTTTGGTCACGTGAACAAAACGGTGTGTTGGAGAGTAAATCCACAACATTTACGCGATCTAACGGAAAACAAAAAAAAACTTGACTACAAATAGGATTGGTCGCGAAAGCCTAAGTGTTACATTTACAACAAAGAAGCAAACAGAAATGACAGCGGAAAATAAAACGTCGTCAAATATTAAAGAAACATTGAACGAACCTCTCCTTGGGTTTTCCCGAACGACGTGATTGTGATTGGACGCCCCGTGCTGGCCGGACACGAAGCGCACTGGAGAAGAGGGGTAGTCAGGGGCGCAGAGGGGCAGAGAGAAAGGACCCACCCTCAGTTTTGGCTGAGTCAACCTAGGGGAGGTACATGTACGGTACCCATTTCACGCTGGTGATGTGAGTGGGAAATAATAGGATTTGGGCCATGGGCCATGTGCACCTCAAATTTCCAGGCCACAGCTGTCCAATCCCGCCAACACACGCACACAGATACAAAACAAAGACAAAGATCCCCATATAGCCTTAACAGACTGTCGGGGCAAGTGCTGTTAGCGAGCACCTATGAAGGCCGGAACGGTACACGAGGGGGTGGGTGGCCAGCACCACGCCCGACCGCCTTTGTCTCCCCAGTGGCGATGTTTACACACCACACCAGGTACTCATTTCAGGCTGAGTCGACCTAGGGGAGGCGCAGGACCGGTTCAGATGATCGTCACTGGTGTTGGCCGTGAGCGGGAATCGAACCCGGGTCGCTAGGTTCATAGCGCAGCGCGCTAACCGCTACACTACCGCTCCCCGCATACAACACACGCACACACACGCACTGATACAACACGCACACACACACGCACAGAAAGACAAAGAACCCCCGTATAGACATACAGACTGTTAAAGCAAGCGCTGCTAGTGAGCCCCTGTTAAGGCCAGATTGAGAGAGTGTTGTGGCCAGTACTCCACCCAACTGCCTTTGTCTCTCCAGTGCAGATGCTTAGGTACTAATTTACACCTGAGGCAACCTTGGGGAGGCCCAGGGTAGCTTTTAGAAAGCACTTGCCACAGATGTAAGCTGTGGCTGAGAATAAAACTCGCCAGGTTCCTTGCCCAGTGCGCAAGCCACTGTACTACTGCTGCCCAGAAGACATGCTCTCCGTTCATACAAAGACAAAGATCCCCCCTATAGCCTTAACAGACTGTTGGGGCAAGTGCTGTTAGCGAGCACCTAATGAAGGCCGGCACGGCACCCAAGGGAGTGGGTGGCCAGGACCACGCCCGGCCGCGTATGCCTGTCTTCCTCCTCACGATGATTTGTTTCAACATCGCACTGAGTACTCATTTGAATCTGAGTCGACCTAGGGGAAGGCCCAAGACCGGTTCAGATAATCGTCATTGAACGCAGAAGGGTGACACGGTTCATTTAAATTGCTCTTAACTGTTACATTTGTGCTCTTATTAAAGCCATTCTCTTGGCAAAATATTCTTGAAATCCTACAAAATTAAAATGAAAACCATTCCAATACATATCTTGGGTATTTTATTATTCCAGATGATGAATAAACGAGACAGCTATTTCTTATTCTCCGACTGCAGAACAACGGGTTCACTTACTCGTAATAATAATAAAAACCCTAACTGTTACGCGTCTGTTGCACGCACGCTGCCAGTTCCTCTCCCACGCACGGCGAGGCCCGGTACCTTCTGCATGTCTGGCAGATGCCTCCACTCCTTGTTGAAGTGCGACAGCAGCGAGGAATCTGAACGCGTCAGAATCCCTTTGGCCTCCAAGCCTGATGGCACACACAAGACCAAGATCACCACCTGTACACGTATAGCCTTCTATGTACGTATATACAAGTTAAAAATAGTTTAATTTAGTTTCCCGTATCTCCCTTCCAAATATTAACTCGGCTCGAAACCCGCTCGGCTTTCGAGATTTCACGAGAATCATTTGGTATCTGAAGACACCACCGCATCGCAAACCGCTGCGCGGAAACGGTGGGCATATTTGTGTTGACGACAGAATTGGTCATTAGGCTGGGAGGAAGGAAACAAATGAAAGGAAGGCGTTGAGCCTGAGCCTGGACTTGAACAGAGGCAGGGAGCTGACTGCGCAGAGGTTTTCAGACGATGGCGACAGCAGAAGAGAACGAGTGGCGTTCACGCCGATCGACTCGTCAAATCAGAATGAACGTGTGCACGTTGAACTTCTTTCGCACCGTACGTAGCTAACCGCGCTAATCGGAGGAGCGGGCGGAAGGACAACAAACTAAACACAAACAGCAGTTGTAGTCAATGCTCCACTCCTCCCCATCATCATCATCAACATTAACCAGCCATGATTGATCCACTGCTGGATGAAGGCCTCCCTCCCAAACCACTACCGAACCTCACGATCGTACGATGTGACACTCCACCCAGAACCTGCACACCAACTGACTTAATCCCATCTCTGCAAATTATCTTGAACCCATTCCATTCCTTGGCTGCCACTCCATTGTAATCATTTACCAAAGGCCATTAACCTCGTCCGGCAAAGTGTCTTGCCTAAGCCCAATTTACTTTTCTCAACAGTTTGATAGATGCCATCAAACCAGCACATGTTGTCGAATCCACGTGTTCCTCTTTCTGTTTCTCAATGTTATTCCAAAATTAAACTAAAACGAAACTAAACTAGTTTTATTTCACCAAGTAAGACCCGCTGAACTATATAGCTCCTTTTCAGAAGCGACATGGCCACAAATGATAGCTCAAGGAAGTGGCTTATCGTGTGGAATGTGTTGCAGCCAAATACTCTAAACACGTGATGTTGATTCTCAATGTGGAGGGCAAATAGGAGTTACGTGGAGAAAATCCACGTGGCCACAGGGAGAACTCCAAATATACAGGCAACAGGGTCAGGATTGAACCCACGACCTCCTGTATACCAAGCGAGGTATTTAACATCTCGCCAAGCTCCGCACATTACCGTTAATTTCAATCACATTACCTTCCATGTCACGGTCACTGCCGATGGTATCGTTGTCGATCGCACGCCACTCACATGCTGCTCGCAATGTGCGGAATAACGGCCACGCCATGACCACCCTGTGCCGAGTACACCCCCGGCGCGCCCAGCCGCCCCGTGTTGTCCGCTCCCTACCCCTGCCAAACCCGCCTCTCCCTCTCCCCCGTCGCTCACCGGCGGTGGTGAGCAGGCCACCGCTCTCCAGCGCCGCCAGCGAGTTGGCACGGTGCGGCGCCGTGTGCGTCTCCGAGCCGTCACGCCCCGCGCCTTCGAGGTTGTGGCCGACGACGCCGGCGGCGGCCGCCGCCCCCTTGCAGCTTCGTCCCGGCGCGGCGCAGCAGCTGACCGTGCTGCCCTGCCGCGCTACCGCCCCCCCGGAGCACAGGCCCATCGCCTGGTAGGCCGACACGAGGCCCTCCAGAGATTCGGCTGCGCACAGCACGGCGGGGGATGGGGGGGGGGGGGTGCAGGACACGGACCGCCATTTTGTTGTGAATCTACTGCTGGATGCGTACCCCCCACACCCCTCCCATTATCAGACGAAGTTCCTCGTGGGTGCCTGTGGGAGGCGCCGCTCACTCATGGCGCATCAAGCCGCTGGTGCTGGCTCACCTTGCCGACGCCAGGACCAGTGGCAGTTGCACAGCCAGGCGCCCGTCATTCTCACACGACTATTGATGCGTTCAGTATGTTCGTCCGTCATTAGCGTTTTAGAATCCAGAGTAGAAACTTGATTTGGAGCTTTCATGACTGCAGGAATTACTCTTTGTTTCTTTCGGTAAAGTCACATAGAAATAAAATAAATTTAAGTCACGTAGATAGAAAATAAATAAATTGAATTTATTTTCTGACTTTACCAAAAGAAACAAAGAGTAATCCAGAGAAGGTCAAGGGTGAGCATTTCAGCGTGAACCCGCAGGTCGAGCAGTCACGCCCCAGTGCCGCCGGTAGAGGTCACCGGGCACTGTCGTCGCATTCAGAAATGTCCCGTGGCCGTGATTTTTCTCAATTATTTGGCGCAGCTTCAAACTTGTGAAGGACACACGACGGAGGCGATACACAAACGGCACCAGGGCTGTGTTTTAGGAATTCATTATTCTGCCTTCGTAGGATTTCGGGAAGATAAAAATGCGGATTTGGAGGAGAGCTATATGCAAATAAACGAAACGGATAGTAGAACAGAGATGTGATTGAGTAAGAGGAAGAATATCTGGATTGGGCAAGTGGTGGTGATGAGAGGGAATGATCTTCTTGGTTCTTTCGGTAAAGTCACGTAGAAGGGAAATAATAAAATAATAAAAATAAAACATAATAAAATAATTCTCACGACGTTTTGGCCACAACAACGTCTCCCCGACAGACCTGGTCTTCACCTGAGGACGGCTGCTTGCGTTGTTGCCGAAACGTCGTGAGAATTTTTTTAATTATGTTTTATTTTTATTATTTTATTATTCCCCTTCTACCTGACTTTACCGAAAGAACCAAGAAGATGAATCCCTGCAGTCACGAAAGCTTTAAATCGAGAGGGAATGAGTTAAATGAGGTGAGTGGGGAGGTGGTGGTGGTGAGAGGGAATGAGTTAAAGGAAGTGATTGGGCAGGCGGTAGTGAGGGGGAATGAGCTGAACATTCTTTTTGAAAAGACCAAGAGGAAGGAAACAAATGGCGACGCTAGGCGACGTTCAACAAGGAAGGACGTATGGACAGGCTACGGCGCCCTATAAATACAAAATATGAGATCTGTGTATGGACAGAGCGCCTAACAAGTGAAGCGTGGGATGCCGCGCTCGCTGTACCGTGCCGAATGGCTTCGTCGATCATGGCCCTGATGCGAGTCGGGACCTGGGGCTCCGCGCAGGCTTCGGCCCAGTCATCCTGGCCACCCACTTGCTCAGCTGCGCGCGGCACAAATACAATCAGGTGAAGCTCTTGTTCATGGATGTCGAGTGTGGGCGGGTCAGCGAGTCACAACACCAAACAATACAAAAGACCGATAGGAGTCCAAAATAGAGAAAAGGGAATCAAGCTGCTAAATAAAACACATTTCTGCGGAGGGAGCTGGTAGGAACGTTGGGTTGCTCGGTCAATGGCCAGGGTCAACGGCGGCCCTGGCCATTGACCGAGGGGGTGGGTGGCCAGCACCATGCCCGTCCGCCTTTGTCTCCCCAGTGGGAATGTTTACACACCGCACCAAGTACTCATTTAAGGCTGAGTTGACCTCCGGGGAGGCACAGGACCGGTTGAGACAATCGTCACCGGTGTTGACCATGCGCTAGATTCGAACTCGGGACGCCGGGTTCGCAGCGCAGCGTAACGCTAACCGCAGCGCCACCGCTCCCGTCGAACGCTCGCACGACGGTTCACACCTCTTTCTGGAGCCGCCTGCCTGGAAGGAGCTGATGTCTCCTTCACGCTCGCTCTGTGCATCCTCGGCTCCTGGCACCTGGGGACGCACAAGCGCGAGAAGCCACATGCGTGGGCACACTCCCGTTACGCGCTCACGTGCTCAATAGGATGAAGGAACGAACAAATACGCAACCAGCGAGATGGAACAGATGAGACGGGACGATACAAGCTATAGAGTACAAGGAGGATCCTGAGAACTGAGTCTTGAAGCAGATCGTGGAAATTGGATCGAATCCTTCCCGACACTTCCCCCCTACCCACAGAGACAAAGATCCCCCATGTAGCATTGCACAGGCCGTTTGGGACAAGGTGCTCTGAGTGTGCACTTGCACATACAGGCGTACACAGGTGCACAAGACATGAACAAAGATCCCTCTGTATCCTTATCAGGCTGTTTGGGGTAAGTGCTGTTCGGCACACGAGGGGGTAGGTGGCCAACACCAAGATCGACTGCCTTTGTCTTCCCAGTGGTGATGTTGACACACTCTACCAGGTGCTCATTTAAGGCTGAGTCGACCAATGGGAGACCCAGGACCGGTTTAGATAATGGTAAATTTTTTTGAGCCTTGATCAGAAATAGAACTCGGGCCGCAAGGTTGGTAGTGCAGCGCCGCGCTAACCGCTACACTACAGCCCCCTACACCCCCCCCCCAAACACACACACACGCGCGCGCACACACGGACAAGCACACACACGTGCACGTATGACTCACGGACGCACACGTGCACGTACCGCTCGGCGGCAGCTTGGCGGATGCGCTCCCTCCAGGAGTCGCGTGCGTCGCGCGATGCCAGGCGCACCTCGTACATGTGAGGGCCCTGCTCCGAGTCGTAGAGGAGGAAGAGGCCGCGCTCGTCGTTGGCGATCTCGCGCACGAACAAACCCCGCAGGGGGACCTCCGCCGGCTTGCGGTCCTGCACGCGTTTACGTTGTGAGAGGTACGTGCCGAGCGTTACTCGACGCGTGTTGCTTGTGTAACTCACGTACGTGCGTTACGTGCGGTCCGTGCGCGCGTGTCTTAAGTGCGTTGCTTGCGTTATACTTTTATAGTTTAACTAGCTTCTTTGCCCATCGAAGGACGGGTGTATATTGCAGTAAAATATTCAATAGAAAAATTGTTCAGCTCATGATTATTAATGAGGGGGGGGTTGCCCCATGTGGAGTGACGTCACCCGCTAATGGTTATTGGGGCGGGGTGCGGCATGTGGAGTGACATCACCCGCTCAGGATTATTAATGAGGGGAGGGGTGCGGCATGTGGAGTGCGCGACCTTCTTGTGCGTCAGTGTAAATTTCCACGGGGGCATGAATATTAAAGAAGGGGGGAGGGGCCTCTTTTGCAGTGACGTCACGCAAGATGCTGCACTGTGCTGCGTAGATTTTTTTTTTACCGTCACTTTCTGTAAAGAAACGTCGTATTTGAAGTGACTTTGCGTAATAAATTATTTAATTCAGCTCGACCTTCCTCTGCGTTAGTGTCAACATCCACCCACTCATGAATATTAATTAGGGGGGGTGGGCCTCATGTGGAGTGACGTCACGCGGGGGGGGGATGGGCCTCATGTGGAGTGACGTCACGCGCGGGACAGACAGACATTTCTGGGTGAGTATAGCAGGTAAGTTACAGGGGTGGGGGCTAAGAGCCCGACTGGAACAAAACTGGAAAAAGGAAAATGTGAACAGGAAGCAAGGTAGGGGGGGCAGCCATCGTGCTCTGCTGAGGGGGCAAAGGCGGAGGAGGGGAGCGCGTGCGTGCATCTGTGCGTACCAGCGAGGCGAACGTGTATTTGTTGTCTCTCTCCTGCAGGAAGACCAGCGAGTCCGAGAGAAGCAGCAGCAGCGTGTCTGCGTGAACACATGGACGCGAGAAGCGATACACGGAAGGAGGTCAGCATACATACACGAAGACGACGACGACGATAGCGAGTGCACGTCAGGCTCGCTGAAACCGATCCTAGCGAGCTGCCAGAAGTTCACGGGCAAGGTCCCTCTCTCTAACGACGACACCGACGCCGACGACCATAACGACGATCGGCTGTTGGCTAGGGCGGGCGCGCTCATGCTCACCCTTCATGCGCCCGCCGCCGCTCTTGAGCGCCACGACGCCCTCGTGCAGGAGCCGCCCCCAGCTCCTGGGCCCCAGCTCCCCGGCGCCGCTCGCCGTCGTATCGTCGCCCGCCGGCGGTCGCGACGACCCTCCGGAGACGGCGGGCGACGCCTGCTGCTGCTGCTGCTGCTGCTGCGAGGGGGAATGCTGCAGAGGCGAAGCGGCGGCGGACACGGAGACGCGGGCCCCGTCGCAGAGGCGTGCGATGATGTGAGCCAGGCGGGCGTCGAGGGAGCGCTCGCACACGCGAGCGTCCACCGCCGAGACGGCCTCGCGCACGCGCCGCAGCGCCCGCGTCACGTCCTCGTGCTCCTTCGTGTGCGCTGCGGGGGGCGGGGTGGGGGGGGAGGCACGCGAGGGGACGCAAGGTGACGAGTCGGAACGTGCAGCGGACGCACAGGGGATGGCGACGGCAATCGAGGGCAAAAAGGCGACCGGTGGGAGCGCGCGAAAGGTGCGCGGGGATGCGCAGGGACACGAGCGGATGTTAGAGGAGGCGAGGGAACCAATGAGTACACGCAGAGATGCACGGGCACACGTGGGGGGGCACAAGGGGACACGAAGGAAGCGGTGATCTCACACGGCGACGCACGGCGACGAGCGGAGACGCAAGGGGACACGGAGGGACACGAAGTGTGCAGGGGGGTGATAGACCTGAGGGATGACTTCAGCCCTGACTGGGAATCTGCCGATTTTGTAATAGCGAGCCGTAAGCGTTAACCTCTCTTCCAAGTGAGTGAATGAGTATATGAATGAGTGGAAGCGTGCGCGAGTGATCAAGTGAGTGAATGAATAATTTGAGTGGATGACTTGAGAATGTGCGTGAGTGAATAAATCCACAAACGAATGAGCGAATCGAGTAAATGAAATAACGTGTGAGTGGGTGAATGAATAAGTGAATGATCAAGTAAATCAGTAAGTGAGTGAGTTAAGTGAATGAATGAGTGAGGGAATGAATGAAGGAACTGATGAAGCGCTCTTGGCGTGGCGCACACTCACCCTCTGTGTGCTGCAGGATCCTCTCTATGAGCACGGGGTACTTGGTGATTCTCTGCGTCACCAGAAGGATGCATTCGGGAATCCCCATGCGGTAAACCTCTGGGCTCCGACTCTGCTTCTACAGGGAGTCAACAAAGTCGAGTGTGTATGTGTGTATGCACGCAGACGCCTTTTGGCGTCATCTGGTCCAACACCATGTGAGACTGGGCTCTAAGAAAAGCTGTCTCGAATGTGGACCAATCAATTTCAAGGACAGTGCATACATTATCAGAGTTGTCTTTTTGTTTGCATTTTGACTGCAAGTGTTGCGGTTAATGCAAACATGATCCCTTGTATAAAGGTGTCAGTTTTGTTGCCAGATAAAAGGGTAAAAACCTGTTACTATGTGTGTATGCATGTTGAACTTCTTTTGCACCGTACGTAGCCAACCGAGGTAATCAGAGGCAGGGGGGTGCGAGTGGAGCCCATGGATGTAGGCCGGTAGAGCCCACTGCCAGCTGCCACTGGGGGGTCCCCTATGCTAGACTGCAGAGCAACCATCGCCCCTTACTGACAAGACTCATGCCAGGCTTGCAGGCCACGCACCAAGTCACATTGTGCCATCACCCCCACCCCTCTCCAACTTGCATCCATAATCCTCATCAGTGTTATTGTTATCTTCAGCATCATCATCAGCATCGTCATAACCACCACCATCATTATCAGTGGCATTGTCACAGTAATCGTCTGTTATCGGCCCAGCTCTATCCTTAACCGTGGCGCCACCACTCCCCGCCACCTCCCCCTCTCCCCCCAGCCCCCCCGCGGCAGGCACCTGTATGAACGCCTGGAACTTGCGGTCGCGTGCCAGCAGCTCCTTGTGCAGGGCAAGCGCCTCGCGGTGGCGCGAGCAGAACTCGGCGTAGGTCGACACGAGCCGCTCGCCGCACGCCCCAGAGAACTGCCGAGAGGGAGAGAGGGGAAACCACGGTCACCCTCGCAGCAGCAGCAGTGGCGGTGGCGGCTATCAGCAGGACATCGAACAAAGCCACAAGGGCACCGTGCCGCGTGCTTTTGGATGCGCTTCTGCGGAACGTCTGGAACGCTCTTCCCCCTTCCGATATTAAGAAGCCACTGGAGCTCTGCGCTTTTAAATCACCCAGAGTGAGAACTAATTTCTTGACAACTGCTTTTTGTGTTTAGATTTGTTGTCCTCCCCCCCACACCTCCGACTAGTGCGGTAGGCTACGTACGGTGCGAAAGAAGTTCAACGTACGCACACGCACAGGGCGTCACGCGTGGCGGCTTCTCCTTCGTGTGGCTGATGTCGACGTAGACCAACCGAGGTGGTTGACGAGCCGGGCTAATTAACTATTTGAAACTAGTTTATTTTTTTTCCAGGTAATGCCCCACTGAACTCTTTTTCAGAAGCGACCTGGCCACAAGTGACAGCTCGAAATGGCTTATCACGTGGGAATTAACAGCAGCCAAATACTCTAAGTGCAAAAATCTATAGGTGCCAGGGTCTGAATCGAACCCACGAACTCCGACATACGAGGTGAGGCAGATGCCATCTTGCCACTGCGGCGACCGCAATTGCGTCAGGAGTAGCGCGGTGCGTCACTGTGATGATGCCTACTTCGTATTTGTGAATCGGGCATTGAGTGCACACTAGACTAACATTGCCCATAGACTTATATTGCCCATGGACTAACATTGCCCATAGACTTACATTTCCCATAGACTTAAATTGTCCATAGGTTAACATTGCCTGAAATTTACATCACCCCTAGACTCACATTGCCCATAGACTAACATTGCCCATAGACTCACATTGCCCATAGACTTAGATTGCCCATAGAATAATATTGCACATATACTTAAATTGCCCATAGGTTAACATTGCCTGAAATTTACATCACCCCTAGACTCACATTGCCCATAGACTCACATTGCCCATAGACTAACATTGCCCGTAGACTAAAATTGCCCATAGACTAACACTGCCCATAGACTAAAATTGCCCATAGACTAACACTGCCCATAGACTCACATTGCCCATAGACTAACACTGGCCATAGACTAAAATTGCCCATAGACTAACATTGCCCATAGACTCACATTGCCCATAGACTAACACTGGCCATAGACTAAAATTGCCCATAGACTAACATTGCCCATAAACTAACATTGCCCATAGACTCACATTGCCCATAGACTAACATTGCCCATAGACTAACATTGCCCATAGACTAACATTGCCCATAGACTAACATTGCCCATAGACTCACATTGCCCATAGACTTAGATTGCCCATAAACTCATCTTGCCCATAGACTAACATTGCCCATAGACTTACATTGCCCACAGACTAACATCGCCCATAGACCAACACTGCCCATAGACTAACATTGCCCATAAACTAACATTGCCCACAGACTAACATCGCCCATAGACCAACACTGCCCATAGACTAACATCGCCCATAGACCAACACTGCCCATAGACTAACATCACTCATAGACTAACATTGCCCCTAGACTAACATTGCACCACCACCACGGCGTCACCGCGCTCGCCAACCGACAACGGCGACCGCGTCACCTGCTGCAGCAGCACGTCTCCGAGGCGCGTGACGAGGAAGTCTCCCGAGCCACCGGATCCCAGCGCCTGCCGACGGCGCGCGAGCATGGCGCGCAGGAAGGCGGCGTGCACGCGCGCCAGCGCCGGGGCGCACGGCACGAGGCGGCGCACCGCCTCCGGCGCCAGCCCGGCGTGCCGGCGCAGGCCGCGCGCGTACACCCGCAGCACCACTCGCAGCGTGCGCAGCACGTGCGCCTCCGTCTGCATGAGCTCTGGCGGGAGGAGGCGGGAAAGGTCGGAGATTTTGATGGACCGTCGGCGGCGATCGCCCGTCAAGGCCCGGAGCGGCACGCGAGCGGACGGCGAGGCGCCGGTGGACGGTGTTCTGTTCCCAAGGAAGGTGACCGCGTCCGCGCGGCGCTTTCGCATGCGCCGTCTGGAACGCTCTTCCTTCCGATGTTATGAAGCCGCTGGGAGCGACTGCACTTTTAAATCATCGAGATTGAAGACTTCATTTCTTTAGAACTACTTTTTGCGTTTAGTTTGTTGTGCCCCCCACCCGCACCACCTCCGATTAGCACGGTTGGCTATGTAGAGTGCGAAAGAAACTCAATGTACCCATAATATAGGGTTTTTGGGTTAGATAGCTTACATATATAAATGTGTTGTTAAACCCGCACCACCTGACACAGCCAACTAGTAAGAGTTGTCACGTAAACAGAACGTGCCAATTCGTCACCAGTACAGCAACACGGGGTGTTCTGTTTACCTGACAAACCTTACTAGTTGGCTGTGTCGGGTGGCGGCGGGTTAAACGACACATTTATATATTTACGCGATCTAACCAAAAAAACCCTGTATTATGGATGATATTGGTCGCGAAAGCCTGCGTGTTAAGCTCAATGTGTCTGCACATCATCACCATCGTCATCATCGCATCGCGACGAGAACAATTCGAGACAGTCCCCTCCCTGCGCGACCCCGTCCGTCGACGCCGTTGCCCACCGCGCGGGTCGGCAAACCCACTCACCGTAGATCACCTCCTGGCGCTGGGAGACGGCGCGCGGCTGGCGCCTCGCGAAATCTGGCTCCACGGTGGCGCCCCACGAGCCCGCGGCCAGCACGCTAGCGCCCTCGTGGAGCACACGCTCGACCTCGACGTCCCAGTCATCGTCCTCCTCCACCTCCTCCTCCTCCTCCTCGTGCTCCGGCTCCTCGTGCTCCCACGTGACCTCGCCGCCGGCGCTCGGCCACGAGCCGTCGGGGGGCGCTGCGGCCGATCCCGTGGGGCTGCACGGGACGCTGCTCCCTGTCGGGGCGATCGGCGGAGGAGCCGTCGTTATCAGGGTCATCGTCGGCGGTACCGGCAGCAACAGCGGCAATCGTACGTACGTACGTGTGTGTATGTATTATAGTTGAGCTTCTTTGGCACCATACGTAGCCAACCGTGCTGATTGGAGGTGCGGCTTTTGGCTGGCCATCCAACAAAGACGGTGGTCACCGCATCAGATGCGATGCTGCGGCCGTCTGGAACGCTCTTCCTTCCGATATTAGGAAGCCACTGGAGTTATACACTTTTAAATCATCTAGATTGAAAATTCATTTCTTTAGAACTGCTTTTTGTGTTTCGTTTGTTGTCCCTCCCCCGCACCTTCGATTAGAATGGAAGGCTACGTATGGTGTGAAAAAAGTTCAACATACATACGTACGTATGGTGCGAGGATGTCCAGAGTTTGCATGGTGGTTTATGCTCCTTAATGAGCTCAGCGTTTCAGCAAACTGAACGCACGGCCTAGCGGCAGCGCACACTGGCCGATCTTTACAGGGGTTTGTGGTCCGAATCCCAGCGGCTGCCCTGGTTATTACCACGGTGTGTGTGATAGCCGTAATGCGACTTTGCGCCACTATGCTCGGCAGTGGACGTTAAAGTTTCCATAACGTCATTCGCAAGAGGAGGCCGTTATGTACCGGCATCATGTCATACTCAACATTATAATCACCAAGACTATAACCACCACCATCATAATCATTACCACTAACATCATCATGTTATCACCATCACCACTATAATCACCAATCAATGTCACCAACAGCACCATCATTAACACCACGATAGCCAAAACCACCATCATCATTCTTGCCACAATAATCATCATCATCATGTCACCATCAACAGAAGCATCAACAGCAGCAGCGCACAAGAATCATGCTATTTATTTATACTGGAGAAATCCGATGAGCTATAAAGCTCTTGATGTGTCCACGAGCCTTGACCGTACCGTGCTGGGACTGGGCGGCCGACCCGTGGTGTGGCCGGCTCAGCGACAGCGTCGAGTCGGTGGAGAGGGCTCGCGGCCTCATGGTGGTGGGGCCCGACCCCTCGCTCGCCTGCTCCGACGTCGGGCTGCGCGGTGAGGGGGAGGGGACGGGTGGTGCACAGCAAAGACAAAGATCCCCCGTGTAGCCTGTAACAAACTGTTGGGGCAAGTGCTGTTAGCGAGCAGCACCTATGAAGGCGGGCACGGCACACGAGGGGGTGGGTGGTCAGCACCACGCCCGGCCGCCTTTGTCTCCCCAGTGGCGATGTTTAAATGCCGCACCAGGTACTCGTTTGAGGCCGAGTCGACCTAGGGGAGGCCGAGGACCGGTTCAGATAATCGTCACCGGCGGTGGCCCTGAGCAGGAATCGAACTCGTGTCGCCCGATTTGAAGCGCATCATGCGAACCGCTACAACACCACTCCGCAGCGCAACCCTCAACACCTCCGTGCTTCAGCTTGGCTCTGTGAGCAAACGGAAGGACGTCACTCGGAATGTAAGCGCTTCACCTCCGCGCTGGTGGTGTTGTCGGGCGCATTCCTTTCGTGTGCGTTTCCTCCTTTGGCTGCCATTCTGTCACCAGTCTCATCCGTCGGCCATTATTCCTGCTGGTGACGAGATGTTAACTAACTCGCCTGGTATACAGGAGGTCGTGGGTTCTGATCCCGACACTGACACCTGTATATATGAAGTTTGCACGTTCTCCCCGTGGTCGTGTGGATTTCTCTGAGGTCCTCAGGTTTTTTCCTCCACATTTAGAATCAACATGCGTTTAGAGTGTTTGGCTGCTATAAATGTCCACACGATAAGCCACTTTATTGAGCTTTCATTTGTGGCCAGGTCGCTTCTGAAAGAGAGGTACATAGCTCAGTGGGGCCTTACCTGGTAAAAATTTGTTTTGGAAAAAAAAAATGCGTTTTTTTTCTTTCTCTCCAGCCAAAGCATCAAAAGCATTTCTCTTGAGAGCAAGAGAGAGAGAAAGAGAGAGAGATCGCACCTGACCAGGTCACAGAAGCTGGCACTGCGGGCGAGTGGAGAGGGGGAGATGCGCGCATCCACGGACGCGGGGAGTTCCCGGGCGAAGCTCGGAGAAGTCCGTCTCGGGGAGGGCAGGGCGCTCGCCACGGGGCGACTTTGTCTCAGCGGCACCGCGCACAGCGACAGCGCCACGGACATCGTCCCTCCCAGTGGCCGCTCTCGCAACGCCGACACTGTTGGGTGGGGGGGGGGGTCGAGACGTGGGGGGGGGGCAGAGGGTTTGGAGAGCGGGGCTGGCATCACGTTGCATGGTTAGGTGGTAGGGGGGGTCTATGGTCAGGGGTGAGGAGTGGTGGCAGGGATATGTGTATTAGGGGTAGGGGTAGAAAGGGAGGGTTGTGGAAAGAGATTCGGGAGGGGGGGTTCACGTTCGGAGTAAAGTTAGAGGGTCGGAGTCGGGGTAAGGTTAGGGACTTAAGAGTAGGGTTCAGAATAGCTGTGGAGGTGGGGATCGTCGGGTTACAAAGTGTTTATGGTATGGTTAGTGGTAGAGAAAGGGTTGGGGTTACGAGTAGAGATTAGGGGTAGGGTTGAGATGAGATTAAGGTTAGTAGGGTTACGAATAGGTACGAGGCAGGGAGAGTCGCCCGGTTATGAATAGTGATGGGGTATGGTGATGGGTAAGAGATAGGGTTAGAGAGGCATGAATAGAGGTTCTGGGTATAGGGTTAGGGGTAGAACTGGAAGTAGGTTTATGGGTCTAGCTGGGGGTAGGCTTAGTGGTAAGAGTAGGAGCAGGCGCGGACAAGGAAGGCTACATCACAGCGGTGGCGACAATCGACAGCGAGCGAGATAACCGCACGGCTTAGCAAAGGTGTTCTCGGTGTTGCTGTTGCCGTGGAGACCGCTGCACAGGGAACTCTTCCAAGACCCCCACAATTACCGCCACCACCACTGCTGCTGTTCACCTCCCTAACTCATATAAAACCGCCTCCATCACTGACACCAGCAACACCGTGACCACCACCGCCGGTGACACCCAAGACGATTCCACCACCACAACCACACTCTCCACCACCACCACCATCACACTCTCCACCACCACCACCACCACACTCTCTACCACCACCACCACACTCTCCACCACCACCACCACCACACTCTCCACCACTACCACCACCACCACCACCACACTCTCTACCACCACCACACTCTCCACCACTACCACCACCACCACACTCTCCACCGCCACCATCACACTCTCCACCACCACCACCACACTCTCCACCACCACCATCACACTCTCCACCACCACCACCACCACACACTCCACCACCACCACACCACACTCCACCACCACCACCACACTCTCCACCACCACCACCACCACACTCTCCACTACCACCACACTCTCAACCACCACCACCACATTCTCCACCACCACCACACCACACTCCACCACCACCACCCCCCTCTCAACCACCACCACCCTCTCCACCACCACCACCACCACCACCCTTTCCACCACCACCACCACCCTCTCTACTACCACCACCACCACCCTCTCCATCGCGGGCACACGACAGGCGCTGCGACGCCCCAGGGCCTCGCACCCCCTTTGCAGAGGGCCGCGAGCACCTCCGTGGTGACCCTCCTCCTGCCCGCACGCGCCCGGCGCTCCGCGCGACACGACGCGGAGCCCGTGGTGAGGCCGAAGCGGGCGACGCCGCGGTGCGGGCTCGGGGAGCCGGCCAGGTGGGCCGGCGGGGAGGGGGCGGCCGCCCCGGCCCTGCCACCCCTGGGGGTCGCGCTCCCCGCTAAGCGCGAGAGGGCCGCCTCAAAGTGCATGGCTCCTGAGCGAGTTGGCCGGGTGCAGGCGGGATGAACACCGGATGAACACCACCCGATGATGAACACCTGACGCCGCTTGCTTCTCTATGCCTGTGCTAGTGAGTGCGTGTTGTGCGTGTTGTGCGCGTGTTGGTGTGAATGTGTGTGTTTTGGTGTGTTTGTGCTCGCTAAGAGCACTTGTCCCAACAGTATGTTTAGGCTATACGGGGGATCTTCGTCTCTTGTTGTGTGAGTGTCTGTGTATATATCTGTGGGTGTGGTGTGTGTGTCTGTATGCACGTGTGCGTATTTTTGCTTAAGTGTGTCTGTATACTAATATGTGTTTATTAACTGTTTTGTATTTATGTACAAATATGTGCCGGTGTGACTGTGTCTTCGTACGCGTCTGTAGGGTTCTTAGTTTAAACAAGCGTCTTGTTAGCTACACACGTGTCCCTCTCCTGTCCGTCAATAAGACTGTCTGGGAGTGTGTTCATCTGAATTCCCACTCGTTTGTCGATCTCTCTGGCTACCTGGTCACCTGCCTGCCTGCGTCTGTGTATCTGTTTACTCCCAGTCTACCTTCCGTCTCTCCGTGTGTGTGTCTACCTGCTTATCGATCTGCCTGTCTGTCCTACCTCCCTAACCGCACGTCTATCTGTCTACTCGTCCGTCTGCCTTCGTTCTGCCTGTCCCCGTCGGTCCGTCCGTGCGCCCTGTGTGTGTCTCTCTCCGCCTCGTCGTCTTCTCTGTCTCCTTGTCTGTGACGTGGCTGCCTTCAAGTGCGGTCGGGTGCCCCTTAATCTCGCCGAAGGAGATGAAGTCTTGAGCCCTAAGCTGTGATCCCAAACCCGTGAACAAGCTGATTTATATATACACGCACATACGCGTGGCGCGAGCACACACACACACGCACAAAGGCACATCTTCACTCGACGGCTTCCAATCCCTCCGGTCACCTCCCACTCATGAATATGGATCGGCCTGAGAAACGGTGGGGCGCAAGCGTCGTGGTGCGGGAGGGAGGGCGGGAGGTGGCGGTGACAGGGAATTGAAGGACGAGGAGGCTGAAGGAGGATTTATGCCACCACGGTCATGCTTGGAGCAGTGGTTCTTCGCTCAGCCCATCGGACAAAGACGGCGGTCGCCGCATCGTGAGGCTCTTTCAGATGCGTTTCCGTGGCCGTCTGGAAGGCTCTTCCTTCCCACATTAAGAAGCCACTGGAGGCTATGCGCTTTTAAATTATCTGGATTGAAAACTCATTTGTTTAGAACTGCTTTTTGTGTTTAGTTTGTTGTGCTTCACCCCCCGCACCTGCGATTAGCACGGTTGGCGACGTACGGTGTGAAAGAAGTTCAACATACATACATACAAAATAAAGATGCCCCTTAGAGCCTTAACAGACTGTTGTGGCAAGTGCTATTAGTGAGCATCTATGAAGGCTGTCACAGCACACGAGGGGGTGGGTGGTCAGCACCACACCTGGCCGCCTTTGTCCCCTGAGTGGCGATGTTTACACACCGCACCATGTACTCATATGAAGCTGAGTTGACCCAGGACCGGTTCAGATAATCATCACTGGTGTTGGCCGTGAGTGGGAATCGAACTCGGGAAACCGGGTTCGTAGTGCAGCGCGATAACCACGACACTACCGCTCCCCCCACATAGATACAAACAGAAGGAGGAGACAGGATGAGGAGAAGGCCAAGCCGTGGCTTCAACGGTCAAGAGCGAGCGAACGAGCGAGAGAAAGAGAGAGAGCACGAGATTTGGAGTGGATGCAAAAAAAAAACACGCGTGAGAAATTGCTAGAAACAGAGACTCATACGATCACACGTTCGCGACGCGTGGACACGCGGCGTCGACAATGCCGGGCGCATTAATGAGTCCCCACCCCACCCTCCACCGCACCCTCAATTAGTGGGTTCAAGGCGAGGAATAAAGGCAGGCAATCTAGCTGATGATCCGCTATCTCGATTCACAGCCTTCCCTGCCCAACCCCGCTCAAGCTCAATTATAACCCCTTCCTTGCCCAATGTGCCGTGGCCGCACGGCAATGGTTGCCAACTACGTACGTACGCACGCGTGCGTCAAACTTCTTTCACGCCGTGCGTAGCCAACGGTGCTCATCGGAGGCGGAGAAACTGTAACGGACGACAGTAATAGCATCTATTTTTTTAGCTTTGGAGCCAGGTTTGGTGGGCCAGTCAAGGATGAACTCTCGTGTTGAACGACCTAAGTGTGGCTTTGATGGACGATGGTCAAGTAAAAGTGTTGGCGTGGCGGTTGACGAATGGACTATGTCCGAGGGAAGACGTCCATTGGGGAGACGGAGCGTGCGGGCACCCGGTTGATTACTGCATTGGCAGGACCGCGATAATTTGGCTGTGGCGGCGGCCTCCATCCGACAGTGGATTGACCACGGCCGATAAGGTGGCATAATTGGAGGGAAAGATCGCCGTTTTACGAGAAGCAATTCACCCGAATCACCATGTCAGTCGATGGCTCTGCAAAAGCAATTTAGCCGCATGGGTCGAGATGACAATGGATTGGCTATATCATTAAAGTCCCTTTGACAGACATTAGATTCGGGCCAGCATAGGCAAAATATCCCCCGTTTCGCCTTTAACAGACTGTTGGGGCAAATTCTGTTTGCTTGAACCTTTGAAAGCCGGGACAGCACACGGAGGGAGGATGGCCAGGTCCACACCCTCCCAACTTTGTCTCCCCAGTGACGATGTTTACACATCACACTGGGCACTCATTTGAGGCCGAGTCAACCTAGGGGAGGCCCAGGAGCGGTTAAGATAATCGTCACTGGTGTTGGCCGTGAGCTGGAATCGAACTCAGGTCGCTGGGGTCGTAGCACAACGCGCTAACCGTTATGTATGCTACTGCTCCCTTCACACAAATACAAAGATCCCCCATATAGCCTTAACAGACTAGGAGCAAGTGCTGACAGCGAGCACCAATGAAGGCCGGCACGGCATACAAAGGGGTGTGTGGCCAGCGCCATGCCCAGCCGCCTTTGTCTCCCTAGTGGCAATGTTTACTACACACCGCACCAGGTACACACGAACACACACACAGATTTACACTCGGGCAACTATCTGTTTACAAGCCGGGACAGATTATTTTTGAGCTTATCTCAATTAGTGAACACCTCTCAAAGGCACCCACCACATACACCCGGCCACCTTTGTCTCCCTAGGATATGGTGCCAGCATGCATGCATACAAAAGTGCGCCACCAAAATATTCAACCAATTTCTCACAACCATTTTCTCAATTCGAGAAATGCGTCGATTCATCGTCTATTACAACTTCGAACTGTTATCTATCTGGTCACAAGAGGCTTCATGGGGTTTCTGGCCCTGTGCTCAGTACCGGTGATAATTAGAAA